TCCCTTATAGTATTCCAAACAACTGGGGCATGGGTTCCCTCATGTAAGAGGTGGGGAAACTGAGGCACCGAGACAATCAAAGACTTGCCTGAGAACCCAGGGCCAGGACGTGGCGGCACCCTCAGCAGAACGGAGTCTCCTACTGCTTGCTGCAGTGTCCAGCCCACATTGGTCACTTATGTCATCTCATTAGCTGCCCCTTTCCCCCCAACGACAACCCTATAGGACCTGCCCGTGCTGGGCCTTGAACCTGGGTCTGCCGGCCCGGGGAGCCCAGGCCACCACCCATTTTCCCACGTCTCATCCATTCATTAACCCCCCCTTGGCAGACCCTCCCTCTCCCTGCCCAACCCCGGAGACCTCAGCTGCTCCATCTCCAGGACGGCCCTTCCTGCCGGCGGGAGAGGCGCTGGGCTAATGTAGGCAGGCAATTTAAACAGCGCCGGCAAAATACACCAGCACTTTCCACTCTGCCACTATTCCGCTCTCCAGCCGCAGCGGAATTGGTCCCTAAGTGGGATATCAAGTTTATTACAGCTATTTCCAATCTGTAATTGGTTTTGTGGAACACAACGGAAAGGAGGTTGGGGGGTGGGAGAGGTGATTCCACACCCCCCCCTTTTTTTCTTTCTTTCTTTTTTTTTTTTCCTCTTCGGATGATGGCACCCAGGGATGTTGTTGGTGAGGAGGCTGGCGTTGGAGACATTTGTTTTTCAAATGAAATACCCCCGGCTGGCCGGCGGGCTCTCGCGGGAGAGGGAGAGCCAAGTCTGTCCACATGCTTTGGTGGCAACACTTGAAAATCAACCTCTCCTGGCTGAAGGCAGATTTGCTGGGGGAGGCGGGGCAGCGGGGACTCTGGATGGGATCCCATGGGGGCCCCTGGGGGCAGCTGGGGGAGCCCTCATGGGCCAGCCCAGAGCGTGAGTAGCTGTGCTTTCTAGGGCCAGCTGTTCTAGAATGAAAACGTTGTGGGAATGCAAGTGGAAAGGGCCCTCTGAGGTCACTCTGCCCCAAACATCCCACCTTGGGCATTTAGGGAAACTGAGGCCCAGAGAGGCGGGCAGTGCAGAGAGAGCCCGTGGGACTTAGAAGCCAGGTCTCCGCCTTCTCACTCTCTTCCACAGGGGAGTGGTTCCTTCCATACTACAGGACTCAGATGCTCATGGGGGGCGGGGAGGAGAAAAGCCACCCGTGTTTCAACACCTACTACGCGCCTGCTGCCTTCATCGGAGTCTGTCCACCCTAACCGACCTTCCTACTTTGGACCGAAATAACATAGCTGTCCCTCCTTATTCACGAGGGACATGTTCCGAAACCCCCCCCACCCCCAGTGGAGGCCTGAAACGGTGACGAGTACTGAACCCTACGCATGCTGTTTTTCTGTAGACACACACACACACACACACACGATAAAACCTAATTTATAAATTAGGCACAGTAAGAGACTAACGAGAAAAACAAATAATAAAATGGGGCAATTAGACCAATATGCTGTAATAAGTTATGTGAATGTTCTTTCTCTCTCTCAAAATACCTCATTCTACTCGATGCATAATGCGGGCGTGCCGGACAAAGGGGTGATTCAGGGCCCAGCTGGGACGGAGTGAGCGGGGCGGGGAGAGATTCCGTCGTGCCGCACAGAACACCCGTGCCATCCAAAACGTAGGGCTTGCTTATTTCTGGAATCTCCCATTTATAATGTTCAGGCCATGGTTGACCGTGAGTAACTGAAACCATGGGAAACAGAACCGCAGCAAAGGGGGGACTACTGTCCCCATTCATTCCTAGCGGCCGTTCCCCTGGTAGGTACGTGAGTGTGTGTTTGCCTGCAATGCCAGGCCCATAACAAGCACACCACACCTGCTCATCTCCACTGCCCAAGACCCGTTTCACACACGCAGGTATTTACCCCTCAGGCCGACAACGAAGCCCAGACACGGCCCCGGAGAAAAAGATGTAAATAAAACCACAGGAAAAAATAGGTGAGTCCTTGAAACTCCCCAGCCCCTTGGCCCGAAGCAGGGATTTATGGCTCAGATAATCCCCCGGTGCTTTATCTGGGGCGCAGCGTGGGCAGGTGTGTGCGCGTGCGGCGTGCCAGTGTATTTTCCTAGTAATAAAACCCTCAGTCTGGAGGATAAATTCGAGCAGACAGTTTTACCGACAGTTTTTTTTTCTCCTTTGTATAATAATAATAATTTTAAAAGAGGAGTGAAATTTGAGATTGAGACGATAAGGGCTGCCAGATTTTAGGAGCAGATAGAAGGGAGGCGAGGCTGTGAGTCAACCTCCACTATCATGGAGGAGAAAATCCTCAGACCTCCCCTTCTGACCATCTGAGTGCCCCCAACCCCCTCCCCACCCCCTTACAGAGCCGCGCTGGAGCAGAGGAGGGGTGGGAGGCGGTGGGCCCACCACAGCCTCTCTCAGCCCAGTGGGTGGGGTGTGGACTCGGCTCTAGGAGCCAGAGCTTTGCTGAGCCCAGTGTGGGACCTCGGCTGAATCACTTTGCCTCTCTCAGCCTCAGTTTCTTCGTCTGCAAAATGGGAACATGACTGTCCAATCCACTCACTTTTCCAGAGGCATTGTGGGGCCACAGGAAGCGGTGGGCCTAGAGCAGGTTTCTTGCCCTTGGCACTGCTGACGTTGTGGGCCAGGTCGTTTTTGGGGGGGTTGCTCTGTACCCCCCCATGATGGTTATAGCGTCCTGGGCTCTACCGTAGATGCCAGTTACTCCCCTCCCCAGTTGTGACAACCAACACCGGATCCAGACCCTGCCAAAGGCCCCCAGCTAAGACCCGGGTTTAAGGGTTCCTTGCTGCTCTTCTTCCCTTTTCTCCTTGTCCCCTACTTGGGAAGCTGGCCCAGATGCAGAAGAGGCAGGGAGAGGGTGAGAGGCCGTGGTGCCAGCTTCCCCTACATGGGCAGAGAGGCCTCCTTATTCTTTCTGTTTGTTGGTTGGTTAATCCTCCCCCCAGGATATTTCCCCCCTAGGTTTTCAGAGAGAGGGTGGAAGGAAGGGGAAGAGACACATCAATTGGTTGTCTCCTGCATGTGACCCGACCCAGGCTGGAATCGAGCCTGCAACCCTGGACCAGGACTCTTCAGTCCGCAGGCCGATGCTCTATCCACTGAGCCAAACCAGCTATGGCAGGGGCCTCCTTATTCCCGAAGAGCTTGCATTCTGGGGAGCAGGACCCAAAGTTAGGTGGCCGTGCCTGGAGCACAGCTGGTGCTCAGTAAGTGCCGGCTGGACGGCAGTGCGTCTGTCCAAAGCAGCGCCTCCTGGGCTAGACCACTGTGGCTCAAGTCACCTTGGGCCCAGATGTGCCCAGAGGAGCCCGGCCGCACCCAGGCCCACCCTCCCAGCCAAAGCAGGTTGGAGGCAGAGGCTTCCAACGTCCCCCACCCCAGCCCCTCGGAGAACCCCGGCCCCGGCCACCGCCCTCCCAGCCCCTCTCCCCCTGCCTCCACATGCAGAGCCGCAGAGCCGCACACAGCTAATTCCACTTCTCCGGGCCCAGGCATGAGGCCTCCGCCACAGGCTGTTAGCCCGGAGCCCAGCTGAGTGGCGAGAGGCTGCAAGCTTTCAGTCTATAATAGAGTTGCTGAGACAAGCGGAAAACTGCAGCCGAGTAAACAGATAAATAATTGAAACAGTGACAACACACACCTTGCTGCTTTGTGGAGTAACACTTTCATTAGTGGCAGACTGGGCAGCCCGGGGAGGCGGCGGGGACGTGGAGGGCGGCAGCTGGGAGCCGGGGACTCCGGGATCTCTCTGTGACTCAGCGGTGAGCAGCTGGGCACCTGGGCAGCTTCGTCCTCTGGTTCTGGCTTCACTATCTCCTCCTGGTCCCCTGGCTTCTCCGGGCTCCGTGCTCCCAGGGGAAATGGCTGGAGGCCTCCCGGCCTGTCCCATGGGCGGCCAGGGGAGAGTGGGTCGGCCATACTGTCCCCTTCCCTCCACCCCCATGCCAGTGGACTGGGTTCTCAGCCTTCTCCCCAGCCCTCTGGCTCCAACCTGCCCCTGGAATCAGTCCTCACCCTACAGGAAGGCCAGGGGGCGAATCTGAAATCCTGTGGCCCCGTTGCCCCCACTCCCACCCCCTCCCCAGGAAGCTGGGCTCCTTTGCCTCCATGATCGGGCACACGGTTCTCTCCCCAGGCCTCCTCACTCCAGGACCTGGCCCCCCAACGGCCTGCTATCACTGTCACTTCCTGCCCCAGGACCTTTGCTCCTGCTGTCCCCTCTGCCTGGAAGCACTCCCACCATTTGCCAGGCTGTGTCCTGCTCTCCCTTCAGAAGATAACTTAAATCTCTTGCTCCAAGGAGCCCTCTCTGACGACCCTATCCCCAGGACGGGGGCTGCCCCTCCTCTGGGCTCCCCTGCCATTCTAGGCCCACCCCGGGCAGGATTCATCAGAAAGTATTGCAATGTAGCTTGTCAGTGTCCCCCATGAGATCTTTGCTCCAGTGGCTGCCCCTGCCACCCAGTTCCCCCTTCTCCTTCTAGCCAGCCTATCCCCCCCCCCCCACACACACACACCCCATTCTGTCTCTTCTCAGGTGGGGATGGCGTTGGGATCAAGCCATGACTCTGTGGGTGACGCTGCAGAATGCATTCACAGCTCAGTGTGCAGCTCTGTGGGCAGGGCTGACCAGGGGCCGCGGAAGTGGAGCCCCTGGCGCAGTGGAAAGGAAAGAGGGCGAGAGAAGGGCCAGCTCTGCTCCTTCTCAGCTTCAGGACCTCAGGAAGCTGCTGCCCTGCAGAGCCTCAGTCTGCACATCCATAAAATGGGGGTGTCCTGGGAGCTTCCAGTGGCAGCTGCGACCAGAACCCAGAGGCTTCTCCAGGGGCAACAGGGCGGTGGGCTTCCTGGCTTCTGCATATCCCTAGGGCCCGGAGTCCCCACCCATACCCCCGCTGCCTGGAGGAAAGGGTGACCACACTGGCTGCACGCTCACTTGTGGCTGGCTCTGTGCTCCGTTGCAGGTAATGGATGGCGGCACCATCAAGCAGAAGATCTTTACCTTTGACGCCATGTTCTCCACCAACTACTCGCACATGGAAAACTACCGCAAGAGGGAGGACCTGGTGTACCAGTCCACCGTGAGGTGAGGGGCAGGGCTCGGGGACGGGGAGGGCCACCTCTCCCCCTTTTCCATCCATCGCACGAGGTTCTTGGGGGGCCTCAGGATCGTCCTCCAGGGCTTGGAAGGCAGTCAGACTCTGCTCAGGAGTGGGACCCATTTCTGGAGGGAAGGAGCAAGAAGGGGTCAAGTCTGAGCTCTGCCACACGGAGCAGACCCCTGACAGCCAGCCCCTCCCAAGTCCTGTAAGGTGGACTTTCTAAGCCCTGGTTCCAAGAGAGGACGCTGAGGTCCAGAGAGGGTGAGCGATGTGCCTAACGTCACACAGCCGGGAGTGCCAGAGTTGCCGTGGGAACTGGCTCTGAAGCCCAGGGGCCCCAAACGTGACAAGGAGAACAGACCCTACACAGCAGGCCAGGTCAGAAGCAGAGGAAGGATGGGATGGGAAGACTTAATTCTTCTCCCCCTTTTCCAGAAGCCTTTAGGGAGCCAGTTCCATGCCAGGCCCTGCCACGTGCTCTCACCCACTCCCTAAAAGGCCCCGGCCCCCTTTTATTCCTCTGACCCTCACAGCACTGGGCCCTCTTCCCAGAGTGCCTGTCCCTGGGGTCACCTGGCAACTCCTCACCCGCCTTCAGAACCCAGCCCAGGCTCCTCTGTGGACGCTTTACTAGACTCCCTGCACCCCGGCAGAGCTGATCCCCCCAAAGCCTGTGGCTGCCACCCCTCCAGTCCCTGCCCCCACAAGAAGGTGACCTCACAACGTGAACGAACAGTAGCTTCACACAGGTGCTGAATGCGCACAACTTCACACAGACACACACACACACACACACACACACACACACACACGCAAAAGCATGCTCTTTCACACACACACACACACACATGTGCATGCTTTTTCACACACAGGTACATGCTCTTTCCCATACATACACAGGTGCATGCTCTTTCACACACACACATACACACACACACACACACACACACACGTCCATGCTCTTTCACACACACATGTGCATGCTCTTTCACACACATGTACATGCTCTTTCTCATACATACACAGGTGCGTGCTCTTTCACACACACACACACAACATGTGCGTGCTCTTTCACACAGCCACCTGCTTTGCCTGGTGCAGGAAGCCCAATCTCAGTCTGACTGGGCTACACTGGGCACGCGGGGAGATGCTGCAGCGCACACAGTGGGTGCACTGTGCTTCCTGGGGGCCTCTTACGTTCCCACTCAGTGCCTGATGCCTGACCCTCACTCTTCACCCCGGGCTGCTTTTCCTTTCTGTGACCAAGAGGTGCCCTTCACCCCTTAGCATTGTACCCTCAGTTCCCCGCACAGGCCTGACACACAGTAGGTGCACAACGAAATTTGCAAATCCACTGGATGGTCCTGGGCTTGCTCCTTGGCCCCTTGGGCCTCAGTTTCCCCATGTGTAAAATGGGGAAATGGGATGAGAGGATTGTAAAGGGTACCTCCAGTCAGCATGAGGATTCCCTGGCCATGCTTGTAAGACCGGGAGGTAGGTGTACACCTGGAGGGCCTTGCTGGGTCCCCTCCTCTCTGGCTTCCTGCGGGGAGGCAGACCCCGCCTCTTGCTGGGGAATCTGGTGAGAATGTGGGTGCACAGGGCCTCTGAGGGGCCTGGGGCACGTGACCACACAGGTGCCCTCACTCGTATATTTATGAATTCTCCTGCACCCGCTTCCAAAGAGGATTTGGGTCGCCTTAAAATATTAAAGCGCACCCAAGACCAGCTCGTGGCAATCAAGATAAAAACGGAGGCAGACCTCATTCTGGAGGAGAAAATAACTATTCTGGGACCCACAGATGATTTTACATCAAGTGAACGTTTAAAAATCATCCCCAAGCTTCCCAGAGCCCGCCCTGCCACCCCGCCCCTGGGGGGCCATGGTCTCTGAGACCCCCAGCCCCACCCCAGGACCCCAGCCTAGCCATCATGCCTGGTGCCCCACCCCTGCCGCAGGAATGGTCTCCAGGGTGACCAGGATGCCTGGGCAGCAGAGCCCCGCCCTCCTCGTGCTCACTCTCTGGCCTGGGCTCCAGTGGGTGGTCTCTCAGGTCTCAGTCAGACAGGGGTGGGGGGAGGGGAGGACAGTGAGGCCTGGGCATAAAGGAGAAAGGAGCACCCTCTGGAGTCTAATCCGATTCCACCAGCCCCAGGGGCGTCCTCGCTGGAAGAGGCAGCTTCTTGAGGCTGCAGGGCCCCATTAGGGCCGGCAGTGGGGCGCGGGGACTCCACATTTACATATAAATGAAGATATTTACAAATTAATGCATATCAACTAGAGAGAGTCCCAGCTCCACAGCTGTCTCAGCCACTTCCTCTTCGGCTGGGGAGAGGGGGGTAGAAGGCTGGGAAGAGGAGCCGGAATTGGCAGAAAGCCCTTGTTTCCTGGGCAGCGGAGAGGAGAGGCTGCCCGGGGACTCCCCAGCTTCCCTCCGCTGGTGGGGTTCCGGGGGGATGGGCGTCCCGGGGCAGCGTGCAGGTGTGGCACACCTTGGTCAGACAGGTCACTGTCAAAGGCCTTTCTAATTCTGAGCCTCAGAACCCAGCACCCCCTGTTTGAAACTGGCAGTGACCTATTCCTTCGAAGCATTTGTAATTGGGCACCTCTAGGAGCCCGGCGTGATGAGAGGTGCCAGGATCCAGAGGTGCGAGAAAGACAGGGAGGCAGGCAGTGATCTAGGAAAGCCAGACATAAATAATACATCCAAGTTCCACCAAGGATGACCTGCAGGATGCACCTATATGGGCACCTTCCCTTTCTGCTCGCTCCCACCCCCTCCCAGCTGCCCGGGACATCCTCACAAACAAGGCAGCTCACTCGAGATCCCTCAGAATCCTAGTCTCGGGGTCTGCTGCTCGGGGGGCCTCCGAAGTGGGAAGGTACGATGTGGGTGACAGTCCAACCAGCTGGCCACCTGCACACCAGCTGGCTGTGGTCCACACCCACCCTCTCACGCCCTGTCTCCACCTCCGTTCACCTGTTACACCTGGCCGGCTCAGGTACAAGCAGACTGGTGGACCTCACCATGGGGATGATTATGTGGTCAAATTCTCTGGTTCCTGCAGAATGCAGCTGTCCCCTGATGGCAGTCAAGGCCTCCCTAGAGGTCAGGGTGAATCCCTATGAACCTTCAACAACCCCTGTACCCTCCTCCCCCAACTCAATCCCCCCACAGACGCTGTGCTTTCCATTTCCCAAAGCCCTTTGCAGGCCCTCGTTCCATTCTCTCTGCCCAGTGTGTCATGAGTAGCACTGGGCAGTCTCACTGGCTCTCATTGGGCAGTAGGAAAATCTAAATTCTAGGAGTTAAGTGTTCTCCTGCCCCTTGCACTCCTTGTCCCACCTTTATTTTACCAAGGCTCTACTCATCCTTTTAGATTCAGCTTAAATGGCACCTCCTCCAGGAAGCCAGTCCTGATTGCCCACACTGGGTCAGATGCCTCAGTGCATTTCCCCTTCATACACGTACTGCCCAGACACCAGGTATTCAGATTCTGCCTCCCAACTAGACCAGAAATCCCATGAGGACAAGGATTGGGTCTGGTGTCTTCACCACAATTCCCCAGTCCTCCTCCCCTCTCCCTCCTCCCCCGGCCCCCCACTGCCACACACACACACACACACACACACACACATACACACACACACACATGTTGTGAATGATTTGTAGGCTGGATGAGTTAGTGGTGGAAGCTGTGGTGCTGGATGAATTGGGAAGGAGAAAGTCAGGCCTCTGAGCCTTCCCCCAACATTTGCATCATTCATTCATTCATTCATTCATTCATTCATCACAGGGCATTGAGCCATGGCTGTATGTCAGAGGTGGTGCTGGAAATAAAATAGTGAACAAGACGTAATCAGACCTGCTCTCGTGAGGTTTACGATGTAGCAGGTGAGTGAGTAGAGGCAGACTACAGAAATATGTTTCAAATAATAAAAAAAATATTTACAGTTGGTGATGAGCATGTGGAAGGCCGTGAGGCCGTGTCATGGAGCACGGAGAATAATGGGGAGGAGGCCTCCAGGCTTCTCCTAGGGGAGACATCTAAACAACAAAACTCCGTGGGCTAAAGAGAAGCCATCCAGACAGGGCTGGGGGTGGAAGGGCGTTCCGGGGGAAGGCACAGGGAGTGCAAAGGTCCTGGGGGAGAAGGAGCTGGCCGGATCTAGGTGCCGCATGGCCAGAGCTCGGGAGTACTTGACCTTTATTCTCCGCACCCTGGAAGCCGCTGTGATGTGTGCTTAGTAGAGCTCACCCTGGTTGCTGAGTGGAAGGTAGGTTGGAGGTGCGAGGGTAGGATAGGACAAAGCTCTCCTCCTAGGAGCCTGGGGGGCGGGGGGAGGAAGCAGGCATCTTCATAGGCCTTGGGACTCAGTTTCCAACTCTGAGTGGAGCTGGGAAGGGGAACTGGGAGCCCACCGGGGCTGGCAGGGCCAGGAGGCAAACCAGAGAGGAGGCCAGAGAACCAGCTCCCCCCGGGGTCTGACTTCCATGCCTGTCCCCCAGAGCGGGCTGCGCTGGGGAGCAGCTGTGTGGGGCGGGGCCTAGGGAGTTCCTGGAGAATGTGGGAGCACGGTGATGCCTCCTCATTCTCACTGATCAGGGGAGGGAGACGTGGGAAAAATCAAGTAAATGAAAAAGGAGCCTTGAGGATCGAAGATATGGAAAGAAACGCCGCTTCCTTTATTGCTTTGAGATGCAGCCGTTCACGTATTCACCCACCGGCGCCTATTGAGCATTCGCGGCATCGGAGGCCCAGGGCTGGGGCTCAGAGCCGGAGGCACAGCACCCTGCGGGGTGGCAACGCAGCCCTCGCCTCCATCCACACAGCCTACCCCCTCTCCCACCCCTTGTCCCACCCACCCTTCAAAGGTGGCGGGCCCTGTATCTTTTCCGTCTTAGAAACCCCGGAACCCACTCGACATTTCGAGAGGAACGATAAATATTTGTGGAATGAGAGGAGAGAAAGGGGAGATAAA